GACCACTGTCATATCATTGTGTTAAACTCATTCTTTTAACTGTGATCTAAAAATTCTCTAATATTGGTCAGTAATATCACAAACATGTAGAATTTTTTGATCTAGTAATCTTTTATTTCCTTCAAAGTATTTCTACAATTCAGTTTCCTTGTTCATTTTAATTTATTTTCAGTTTGGTGTTGGCATTTGACAGACATTTCCATTTAACAGATACATTCTGCTTCTGGGACAAAAGATACTGATTGCAAATGTACTTTAAAGTAAACATTTGACATTGAGTGCACATTTTAAGTATACTTAACAGCCATGAAAGTGTACTCTCTTAAAGTGCACTTAAGTGGCCTTGTATTTCATTAATAATATCTGCAAATAGTTTTTATAAAGTATACTTACTTAAGTACACTACAAGTGTGCATTCATTAAGTAAGCACACTTTTTTTCGTAATGGAAGCACAACTCACAACATTTAAAATATAGTTGCACTCTCACTTTTATTGCTTTTCTTTTTTTTTACCAATCATGCACTGGCCACTTGTTGAACAGAATCGAACTTTAATGAGCTTTGTTTGTAAGACAGCATGCTGGATTAAGATGTTCGGACAGCCATTGCTGCCGACTGCACAGTCTGTTAAGGACAACAAATTGCGAACCACATTTGTGTCTGTCTGCTTGCATGAATAATGCATGCGGTTCTGATTCAGGTCTGTTTTGCTTGGGGACCAGGTGGAAAGTTTGATCAGTTGTGTTTGGTTTCCCTCTGGGACACTACAAAAGACTGCTCGTGTATCTAGGGGACTGTGAACATAATTGCAGAGATATACAGGCCCCTCTCCCCCCACATGCGTCTATGTCTCATTAGGTTTATGTTTTTTTTTCACACCACTTATTAATGATGAGAGTCCAGAGAGAAATAGCAAGAGAGGTTTCTAAGATTACATTTTTTTTTATTGTGGTAGGTGGTTAATGAGCTCGACCCACTACAATCCCCCTGACAGGATTAACCCTCAATCCCTCGACTCCTCAAAGCACTTCTCTCTTCTCCTCACGTTTCCTCCTCCAGTACAAACCCTTTCCCACCTCCCCACTTCATTCCAGTAAATTGCTTAGATAGTATCTATTAAACTATGTCTTGAAGGAGAGGTTAAGACAACAGTCTTTGCATAGTAAAGTGTCTATATATAAATACCTCATTATCAGGCGTAATCATTGCGGCAACATATCTTTCCCTACTTTCAGCCCCACGCTTATTTTATTTTCAAACATCTGTCAATGTCAAAATTCTTGTCACTGGCAACTATAAATAACTTAGGATAAATCGTCTGTTGCTTCAAGCAGAATAGTTGACAGGCTTGTCCAAACTGCATATATACATTAATCTTGTTTGACTATTTTAATGGCTAATATTATATATTTGTAAAAATGTTCTTCCTGAGTAAAAGGAACTGCTATAATTTAGTTTTTATGAGCATTGTCAAACTTTTTCTGATCCATAGAATTAAACTGGACTGTTTTGACTTTCTAAGACTTTATAAAAAGCTCATTGCATTTGAAATGAAGGTGCTTTGGGTTTACATAGGTTATATAATTTTTTTTTTTCTTTAAGCTTAGCTGAACATTTGCTGTCCTGACTGCTTCTATACCATTTAAAAAGTTTAGGGATCGGTAAGATTTTCTAATGTTTTTGAAAAGTGTCTTATGCTCACCAAGGCTCCATTTATTTGATCAAAATTCAGAAAACCCCCAGCAATATTGTGTAATATTATAACAGTTTCTATTTGATTATATTTTAAATGTAATTTATTAATGTGATGCAAAGCTGCATTTTCAGCATAACTAGCAACATTATTCCAGTCTTCAGTGTAACATGATTCTTCAGAAATCATATTTGCTGCTCAAGAAACATATGAAGAGTTCATTTGCAAAAACAGATAACTCCGTTTTTAACAATTTTTAAAAATTATGTTTTTTCATTGTGCATTCCAATTAATCTCAATCAAACTGCAGTTGGGTTATTTTGATTAGGTTAAAAAATAACTAAAAAATACAGCTAACTAACACAATAAAACACAATAAAAACATGATTTATCTGTTTTTGCAAATAAACTTTCATATATTATTATTATTATTATCAATGTTGAAAACAGTTGTGCTGCTTAATATTTTATGTGGAAACTGATACATTTTTAGTATTATTTGATAAAAAAGTCCAAAAGAACATTTGAAATAGAAATCTTTTGCAACAATGTGCAAGTCTTTTGATCATCAACTTTATGCGTTGTTGCTGAATATAAGTATTAATTTCTCTCTCTCTCTCAAAGAAAAAAAAATCTTACTGACCACAAACTTTTGAATGGTAGTGTCAATTATTACATAACGCTAATTCAAGTGATTTATAGTTTTCAACTGTATTCTTTCTCATGTCAGAAAATAAGATGTTAGAAAGTGTGTCTGTATATATATATATATAGTATGTTTTCATAGTTTAAACTATTTTATCTCAAACAACTCAAGTGAAAATGTAATTCCTCATGATATGACTTCTTTAAAAAAAACAACTTATGATAATCTTTGTGATTTTAAGTGACAGTGTCTTGTCCTCAATCTACCTTGTCTGCCACTGCATTGACCCCGAGTTTGTTGTTCCCATCTTTACGTGCATTATTGCAAGTGTCTGGTCTTGCATAAACCTCACTCGACCCAGTTCAGCCGTTCCCCGCTTGCTAGCTAAAGTTAAAAGACTAATTTGCCAATTACAGCATCTGGCCTGATACTGCTGATTCAGGTATCATGAGAGTGAAATGAACTCTGCATAACCTACTCTGAAATAAAACAATGGGGGGATAAGGAGGATGCTGTATCTTTTATGTGCATTTCCAAGCCTTTGTGTGGTTCATTTAGTGATCTGTATTGAGCTATGGCCGTGACGTCACAGAGGAGGATTATTATAAGACTGTAAGAGGGATTAAGGGGAATGTAAGGAGATGAATGTCTTTTCTCTTTTGTGCTAAATAAAACTTCATAATATACACAAGTGCAGTGATCCAGTCACTATAACTCATATTGACTCTGAGTGTCTGTGTAGTTTCTCAGATTTACTCATGTTTGGTTATGGATCTGAAAATATGGATTACCCCTACAGTTTTGGTCCAATCTTATGCTGTATTGATATAAAAAAAATATGGTCCAACTTGCAGCATATTCCGGCCATAAAGGTTCTGCATTGATAAGAAGAGGTTCAAACTTGTTTAACAATAAGGACCCCCAATAATGATGATGTACCCATTTATAATGTTTATAATAAAACATAATAATAACACATAAAGTGAAACTTTTTAAACCGTTAAAATGCTGTTAGATATATAAACATGGAGAGATAAAATAAAAATATTTTAAATTTAGATTTATCTGTAAATCCCTTTTCACAGTAATTATAATTCCAAAACATGGTTACATTATTTTACATGTACATTTACATTTATTCATTTAGCAGATGCTTTTATCCAAAGCGACTTACAGCTGAGCGGGGAATTTTTTTTTCTTTTTTCTCAACTGTAAATAACAATTTTACAATTTTTCCATTTTCAAAGTAGCAGTTACATGTTACATGTACTTACTATAGTAATAACAGTAAATTATGCATAATTACAAGCAACTAATCCTAAACCAAACATTAACGCTAATCTTAGGTACATGTAGTTAGTTAATATTACTCAGTACATATTTATGTAACTACAATGTAACAACATCACCTTAAAATAAAGTGTTACCAAAAATAGTGTAATATTTTTTTAATATACATATTAAACTAATTTTGTAATATTTATTTTAGGAATAAAAGCACCAATTGCTTTAGAAAAAAGAAAGAAAGAAAGAAAGAAAGAAAGAAAAGAAAAGAAACGTTTAAATTTAGTAAATCAATTAATCAATGAGTGAGCCAATTGCTTTTCTAAAATGCAGCTACATTTTTAATGTAACAATTTATAATGTGTGATGAAAGTGTATGATATTATAAAGACAACATGCTTGCAAAATTAAATAAGTGGCTTTTATGTTACTGTACTGAAACAAAAGCAAATAATGACAATTTAATTGTAAAGATTAAAAACGTATATATTTATTGCACTGTTAGAATGCTGTTAGATAAACATGAATTAATTCAATTTAGATTATTTATCTAAATTCACTACATACACTGGATGCAACCATCTGCAAAATACAGTTTTGTCTTTTTGGGTGCAATACTCACTAGACAGTCCTGGACTACCCATGGGTGTCCCTTCTGATGCTCAGACTGTCCTCTTTGAGCTTTGTGTCAGACAGTGAAGTGTGTGTCCTACGATAGTCCTGCTGTTTTTCATATCTGTGCTGTCTGTCAGTATGAATCGTGCTTTGATACTCAGCCTCCCCATGCCTCTCTGCTCCTAGGGAACTAATGCCCAAAACTGAGGAGGGTCAGCTGACCATGGAGAAGACACCAAGCTACTTTGTAACCAAGGAGGTCCCAGGCCGGATCCACGCCATGTCCAAGGACACTAAGCTGATAGTTGTGGTTAGAGACCCAGTAACCCGGGCGATCTCGGACTACACGCAGACCCGCTCAAAGAAACCCGACATCCCGTCCTTTGAGAGCTTGACTTTCAGAAACATCACAGCCAATCTAATAGACACCTCGTGGAGCGCGCTGCAGATCGGCATGTACGCCAGGCATCTGGAGCAGTGGCTGCAGTTCTTCCCCATGAGCCAGCTGTTGTTTGTGAGCGGGGAGCGTCTGATCAGCGACCCGGCCGGGGAAATGGCCCGCGTACAGCACTTCCTGGGCCTGAGGAGGGAGGTCACGCACAAACACTTTCACTTTAACCCCGCCAAGGGCTTCCCTTGCCTCAAAAGACCTGAAAGCAACAGCAAACCGCACTGCCTCGGCAAAACTAAAGGCCGCACGCATCCAAACATCCATCCTGATGTGATTCAAAGACTGCGAGAGTTTTACAAGCCATTTAACAAAAAGTTCTATCACATGACCGGCCATGACTTTGGCTGGGACTGATTTTATTAGTTTTTGGGAAGACATTTTTTGAAAATAATGAATTGTAAAAAGTATAGAACTCTATTTTATAATAATTTATTGAAAATAATATACTCACTCGGCTGCCTATCTGTTGTTGTACGTACAGTACTGCGAGTTTCTACCTTTTACATTCCGGTCAAATCTGTAAGCTTGATATTTTGTCTTTTCTAATGGGAAAAATTTTGATTTAGGAGAGGGGATGTTTGACAAAGGAAAATAGCACAATGAAACTAATTACGGGTATATGATGAGTCATTCCAGTTGCATAACAGGCCCCAATTTTTGCTTTAGTAAACATTATCTACCGTTTTTTGTTTTTTTTGAGGATTCCAGCATGTCATCCTTCATTTTAAAGGGTCATTATTTAGTCTCAGCTGTTCCAAAGCCACATTTTGTGGATCAATACTCATAAAGAATTGTCAATTATGTCAGAAAAATGATGTTTGGGACACCAGCTGTTTAACTTGATTTAAGAAAATTGAATTTTCTACATCAGCATTACACGGGAAGTCTGTGAAGACGGATGTTTGAACTGTGTTGGATTCTCTGTTACAAAAGTCTGAGACTGTCTTTATAATTCTCAAGAAGAGAAAGGCAACGCAACGCAGCTCGACAGAAATGTACACACATCTCTGTCTATATAATGACTTCATGTTACTGTAAGATTTTGCATGAAAGTTGTCATGAAATGTTTTTCTTAACAAAATAATCTAAAGGGCCTTTTCAGTATGAATATGAAATGGATAAGTTCAGTTCACTCATTTCATACCTTACAGGAATTGCAAAAAGGGAAAGTGAAATTTCCCTAGTCATGATTATTATTCATAGCTACATCAATGGTTGAGTTTTATTCAACCCTTATTGTGTACTTTCAAATGCTGTTGTTTTTATAATGAATCCGATGAAAATGAGTTCAACATGATTGTACGCTTGTTTCTTTCCAACTTCAGACCAAACAGTCCTGTCAGAGGTGCGAGACACTGAGTATTTCTGTGCTGTGAAGAAATAAATCTATTTTTACCAGAGCGTAACATGTTGTATATTCTAGTGCTGAAAATACAGCTTTGCTTCACAGGAATAAATTACATTTTAAAAGTATATTCAAATAGAAAACAGTTATTTTAAATTGTAATAATATTTCACAATATTAGTGTTTATATATACATGTGCTAAAGACTTAACCCAAATGAAAGTAATTACAGTGATGTTCATTGGTGACCTATACTTAATTTCCTGCAAAACAAGGTGAACAGCAATGGAAATAAACATGTTTGTCATTTGTTAATTACTACTAACCACTGTCAGAAGAAGCTCATTTGGATGTAACAGGAGTTTGCCGGTTTGGATTTCTTCAATCTGTACTGTTTAAACCATCAGACCAACCACAATATCACCACCAATTCAACTGCTATTTTTCAGTCTGGTGAGCTGTTTTCTGGGGCTTCGGGAGAAAGCATAGCCTTTAACACTTGTTGTTAGGTCATAGGAGACCAATTTAAGGGTGGAGATGTTTCCCTTGGGCTCCTGAAGCAGCACCTGCTGTTAACTGACACATCATGACCACCATTACCTCGGTGATCCAAGAGCAATCAGAGCCTTGCAAACACTCAAATAACTCCCTGTTCCTGCATTTCTAACACTTTACCTCCCATACATCAAATAAACAATTCAACATGACTGTAAAATGAAAGCAGCTTCAGTGTGTTCTTGCATTGACAAGCCTGACAAACTCGTCACTTCACAACTTCAATAAGGATGGCGTGTTACACTTGAGGCGGTCTGGAAAATGCCCGTCCTCTTTAGTCCCTCGATTATATGCGATCAACAAGCAGTGATTACCTCCATCTATTATCAGGCAATCATTAACGGCTTACAAATGGCCCTCGTTTAGCTGTTAGCACGACATAAAAGAAGCCCCTGGCGATAGCAAGATGCCAGGCAGAGCTCGTGAAGAAGCACCCTCTCAGCAATTATATAGGGAGAAGGTAGAAACAAACTGTAAATGCTTTCTCCCATGCAGCAGGGGGATTGTTGTTTGCACAGATACCCGCAGGCTGATATGTGCTAAGCTGCTGTTGTTTGACGGGTGAAAAAAACAGAGAGCAGACACCTGACAATCCACAGCAAGAGTGAGTCGACAAGCCCTGCTGCTATTAGAGGGAATAACACAGTAAAACTGCCCGAAAACACCCTGTTCTGAAAATTTTATGGAACAGGGTGTGGATTATTTTTATTCTGGGACACGTTTTCTGAAATGCCTGCCTCTCATTAGAATTCGTAACCATTCGTAATTAACATTTACTTGTTTGAATGTTTGGATATGCAATCAAAAGTTAGTAATGTTTTAAAAGAAGTCTCACCAAGGCTGCATTAATCTGATCAAAAATACAGTACAAACAGTAATATTGTAAAATTTCACATAACTATTTTCTATTTGTTTATATTTTAAAATGTAATTTATTCATGTGATGCAAAGCTGAATTTTTAGCATCATTACACTCTTCAAATAATTAGAAAATAATAGTTTCTAAAGTAACTGATTCATTTATTTGCACATATATTCATATTTCATTGTACTTACACTAATCTGTACTTACTGTTTCTGCCACAGAATTAAAAAAACGGTAATTGTGAGTTTATATCAAGTTAAAAACTTGAGTTCTGAGTTCACATCTCGTCATCTATATAAGTTTATCTCTCACAATTTTGACTTTTTTCAGACTTCTGAGTTTCAGCTCGCAATTTTTCAGAATTCTAAGCTTACATCTCGCAATTCTACCTTTTTCACAGAATTCTACGTTTACATCTCATAATTTTACGTCTCACAAATCTATTTTTTTCCCTAAATTCTCAGTTTACGTGTTTAAATTCTGTACCTCAGAAGTGTGAGGAAACGGGCAGAATTTTGATATAAAAAGTTGAAATTAAATTTTTTATTATTCCATGGTGGACACAATCTTCCACATAATATAACATCATATATATACAGTGGGTACGGAAAGTATTCAGACCCCCTTAAATTTTTCACTCTTTGTTATATTGCAGCCATTTGCTAAAATCATTTAAGTTAATTTTTTTTCCTCATTAATGTACACACAGCACCCCATATTGACAGAAAAACACAGAATTGTTGACATCTTTGCAGATTTATTAAAAAAGAAAAACTGAAAAATGCTCAGTATTTAGTAGAAGCACCCATTTGATCTAATACAGCCATGAGTCTTTTTGGGAAAGACGCAACAAGTTTTTCACACCTGGATTTGGCGATCCTCTGCCTGCATTAATCTGATCAAAAATACAGTACAAACAGTAATATTGTAAAATTTCACATAACTATTTTCTATTTGTTTATATTTTAAAATGTAATTTATTCATGTGATGCAAAGCTGAATTTTTAGCATCATTACACTCTTAAAAATAAAGGCGCTTAAAAGGTTCTTCACAGCATTGCCACAGAAGAACCATTTTTGGTTCCACAAAGAACCATTCAGTCACAACATTTCTCATTATTATCAATGTTGAAAGAAAAAGTATAATGCTATATGCACTGTGCTGGAGAGATTACATGAGCCCAGAGACAGCCACCTGTTCCTATAGACAGACTGAAAAGGCTTTAGGTCGACTTTGGCCGATAAGGAGTCTCTAAACTGGCTTTGACCATGGCCAACATAAACACATGTCCTGTCTGGGACACTTGGAGACACATGGTATAAAAGTCAAGATTATTAAGAGCAATAAATAATACTTCATGTGCAAATATTCAAGTCCCTGATGTGTGTTATATATTAAGCAAAATAACTGTATTGATTAAAATCCTGCATGGCTCAAAAATGTGTTGTATTTCAATAACTCGTGAATGAACAAATATTTCAGTTTTCAGACATATATAATAAGACTATTCCAGAGGCCATGGCTGTTTATCATTAGAGTAGCTGCTAGTGCAGCTAACTCCCTCCGGACATAAAAAACAGATTCAACATCTTGTAATGCTCTGGATTCTTCAATACGGCCTTTATCTGTGGAGGAAATGGTGTTGAGTGTTTAAAGCTGCTTAGATTTTAAAATACTCGTTCATACCCCAGTGTATTTTAGAGACAAGGTATGAAAGCTATCCATTAACATTCACATTCAACTCAATGGCAGTTGCTTGGGTGGTGCACACAAAGGACCGCACAAAGTATGTAATCTTTGCTTATAGGCGCTCTATTGTTTTTGCCATTTTTTTAACCCTGAGCCATAAATGTCAAGTGACTAATTACTTTCGAACCTGATTTCCATTATTTAAAGCCCATTTCAGATCCTTCCCAAAACAAATTGATCACTGGTAAATATCTACCATAATATAATTAAATAATATATTATAGTAATATCCATAAATGTGCAATTTGTGTGGTTTTAATTCTGAAAAATACACAATGTGTTTAATGGCAGTCAATAGAAAGATGCTTTTTTGCTGTCAGTTGGTTGAATTAGTAAATACAACTTGAATATTATTTATTTATTAACATATTTAGGTGCCATATTTAAGTGGCATTAGTTTCATAAATAGTAAGTTCAGTAAACTACTGTATGTTCAATTAAACTTTTTTAATTAGGTTTGAGTGCTATCCTATTTGGGCCGAATGTGCTTATTGTAACCCCATTATAAAATTTTTTAAACAAATTAAAACTTGGCTTGGTAATGAGCATGCTATTCTTCACAGAGGTTAAATCACTTTTGTCTTAGAAGCCTTTAAACCGTTCAAGCCCTTGTATGCTGGGTAAAGCACTTGACTTTCCTAATACCAGCCATGCCAGAGTTGTAGTCTTTAGGCTTTAGCAAATACGATTAGTGAATTTTACATATGGTTCTCAACATGGAACCTAATCCGAGTTTGAGGGTGGGCTGGATTTCCTTGCTATAAAAATGTCTTCATTGCTGACAGTATAAGCTTTATATAAATACAGTATTACTTAACCTTGAAAAACGAGATTTGCTTTATTCACACTTAATCTGTATATGCAGCAGCACTTGTAAATAGAGTAATACTTTTGATGAGGAGAAAAGACATCTTTCAAAGACATATTCTTTTGATGAATATCAACCATTGACTAGTTGACATTTAATTATCATTTAATTGTCTCTTTTCTTTAGCAATAGATGCACCGATGCATTTCACAAGTAAAAACTTTAAATTAGGTTCCCCGCTACGATTGTGCCAACTTGGATGGTGCAAGATTTCTGAGCTCCTAACAGAAGTACAACAAGCCTCATTTAGTAAAGATGGGAAATCACTATTCCCACATTAGTAGCAGATGGTAATATTTATCCCCTGCTGACATTAGCTCTAAAATAAGCCTGATCTCAGCTCAAGAGGACAAAAAGAGATAAAGATCCTCTATTTCCACTATAGTAGCTACTGTGACCTTGACCCAGTGTCATCCTGACAATCACAGTAATGGGGCATGGGGACCCCCAGTTGGATTACAATGTCCTCTCTGTTGTCTGTCCTTGTTATCCAGTATACCATCTACAGCTCAAGTCCAGTGTAGCCTGGCTTTAAGCATCAAGAAAGCTCTAAATGTAAAGGAGCTCACCGTATGTCTGAGGTGCGGTGGGTCAGCCGGCTTGGCTCTTAGAGATAAGGTTGGTTATATCGTCCTGTCCTCTTATTTCTTCTTCTCATGCTGAATCTGTCTCTTTAAAGTCAACATAAATTAAGCTTTAGCCACACCCGTCCTCAATCCGAGAGTTTAGAAGATATAATGATGACTATAAAATGTAAAAATATATATATATTTTTTGTATTATGTGTGTTTTTTTAAGCAACACATTTCAAAATAGCCTTTATTACTGTGCATTTAGATGGTAGAAAGCAGGGCAAGCGGCCAGATGTGAACGTTTTCAGAAGGATATCTCAGTAATTATGAAGTGTTAAATCAAAAGCCTTTATACAAAGCTTTTCAGTCACACATTTTTTTTCTAAAGCAGTGATTTTGTAGTTTCAAATATTAAAGTTCAAGAATTTCTTTAGACTATTCA